CAGGTTCTACCTATGCCAGTCATTTGAGGAAGGGACTGGTGAGGAGCATTTCCCCAGAAGCCAGGCTGGGACTGGAGGTCAGAAAATAGCCAGTTGCCTAATACTAGTGCTTCCTCAATTCCCTCAATCTGAATATTGGCTAAAGGTCACTGGTCAGGGGTTTTGATGGTATGCCAGCTGTTGGCTAGGACCACAGATCAGATGATTCACTGTGAACCCCAGTATTACACTGCTAATTCCAATCTCTATAAACTTCCAATTGTTCCATATAATGTATCACTGAGGTTACTCTGAAAAAAGTTGTGTGTATATTCCTTGAATGGCAAGGCTCTGTTGTATGTGACTACTGAAAATAAAGTATCATGCTGGTCACATGGATAGTGCTAAATAATGGTGACTTAGCAACGTTTGTATAAACAGAAACCTGGAGAGGTTACTACAAACCTGGAGAGGTTACCTGACCTCTTACGGTAATACCTTTGCTAATGTGGATGTCTTTCAGCTCCCTCCTACACCAACATTCCATGGACTACTGTGGCCCCCACTCCCCTTCACACATACATGGTACAGGAACCACCTTTGCTCTGCCCCACCTAGTGGCTTAAGAACTAATATGTTTGAGAAGTTCTGTCTTCAGGGTGCTGGTGGCCTAAAGGAATGGAACATACAACATTCCACTCATATGTTCTTTCTCTTCTGAGGAACCTCTGCAGTACAGTCTCTTTAGAGCTGAAAGTAGCCATGAAAAGCCCATCTGCAGGAGAAAGGGAGAAAAAGCTAGGTCAAAACCCAGCTGAAAGAGAACTGGCAGGAGGCTTAGAGTATAGGTTTACAGGGATATTGATGTTTGCATGGATCAGTGGCTGGCTGGATGAGTGGATGGATGGATAGATAAATATATGGATAAGAGAAACTGGAGTACTAAACAAATTGACCCAGCATTTCCATTTACGCCTATTGAACTGGTGGCATCAGGGACTGGCAGCCAGTCTTCCATTGACGTCAGCAAGTGCAGATTTAAATCTCCACAGCAGAATGCTCCTGAGCCCTGGTAAATAGGACTGGTAATTGAATTAGAAAACATTCTGAGCTGTCAGTTAATTATGCTGCACAGGCAGTTGCTTTGTCCAGGTCTGTTTCATCCTTGAATCACTTGAATGGGCTTGTCACTGGGAGGGAAGGTCTTTTTCTATGAGAGAGGCACATATTTATGTCTCTCTGAGTTCCCCTAAGCTCCTTTGGGTCATTCTTTGGCATTCTACTTTGTTGCAGACATTGTGATATGAGTTTTGGTAGGCATTAGTTTTGTTCTAGCCGTGTTTTATTTTATTTTTATGAACGTGATGTTTGGAATACTCATAGTATTCTAATCCTCAACTGCTTTTTTTCTTTCTTAAGGACAAATAACCAATTTGATTTCTCTTTTTGTTCTTGAGCAACAATATGATATAACAAATTAACAATGCCCAGTCATGCTTAACATTAATAAAGCTATTGTTGGTTTTAAAAAAAATCTTAATGAAAGGTTCAGTCATTCCAACTTCAGGACTTCATGCATGCAAGGCAAGCGCTCTACCATTGATGACATTCCCTGCCCTGCCCTGTTGTTTCAATGAAAGAAAGTGACACAATCTTCCCATTCTAGCTGGGAGGGGAGAGTGAGTATAGCATGCTTTGACAGCAGCTGCTTTTGGAAGAGATCTGTAGTGGAGATGGGACACACCCCAGGCCTGCAGGAGAATAGGAGGCCACCTCCTTACTGAGAGCTTCTCCAGGCTGGACTTGGAGGAGAGACTGTCTTCTCAGCTTCTGCTTTTATGTAATCCCAGTCTTTTGCACAGGTTTGTGTTCAGGAGTACCTAAAAAGGCCTCCTGGGTTCCGGAACACAGTATTTCCAATTCCAAATGGGCTGGTTTTCCACTGAGGAAGCCTGGCAGGATCAGGGTGTTTCTTGGCCTAAGTTTGAAATTAGATACAGGTTTGTGTTCTGTAAGACATACTATCCCAGACCACAAAGTCTTGGACTTTGAATGTCTCCTTGGGAGTAGGAGCTGTTTGTATTTATCTTTGCATTCTTGATGTTTACTTAATTCACCCATTGCTTAATTAGCCCAGTGACTTGTTGAACTGAATTAAACTCATTTATGTAATATCCTTCCCTCACTCTCTTTATCTACCTGTCTTTCTTTCCAGTGAGTTTTTCCAACTCTCTAGGGCCAACCACATATTGGTAAATAAAACAGGCTCAGTCCTTGAACTCTAGATGTAGAGGGTAGAAGGACAAACAAAAGTTAACTAACAGATACATAGCGCTTGAACTCTCGGCCTTGTCACTGTCCCTGAACTCTTGCTCAAGGCTGGTACTCTACTACTTTGGGCCACAGCGAAATCATTTCTGCTTCTCTGGTGGCTAGTTGGAGATGAGTCTCAGACTTTCCTGCCTGGGCTGGCTTCAAACTGTGATCCTCATCCAGTCTCCTGAGTAGGATTACAGGTGTGAGCCACCTGTGCCTGGCAAGACTTTTTTTTTATAGGTCATGAGGCCTGAACTCTGGGCCTGGGTGCTGTCCCTCAACTCTTCAGCTCAAGACTAGCGCTCTACCACTTGAGTCATAGCACCACTTCCGGCTTTTTCTGCTTATATGGTGCTGAGGAGTTAAACCCAGGGCCTCATGCATGCAAGGCAAGTATTCTATCACTGAACCACCTTCCCAGCCCCAAGATTATTTTCTAAACTTTCAACTGATCACTGAAAACTCTGAAAACTTTGTGTCTAGCTTTGCATTTCTATGATTGCTGGTAAGATCGAACATCATTTCATATGTTTATTATCCCTTATGTTTCTCTTCTCTGTTCATGTCTTCGTCAATTTTTTTTTCCTATTGAGTTATGTCTTCTTACTGATTGTAGAAAGTTTCTGTAATCTTGATGTGAATCCTCCATTAGATATACTGCAAATACTTTCATTTCTCTAGAAAGAAATTGAAAGGAATTGCTCTAGAAAGAAAGTGAAAAATTGTAGTTGAGTCTATGGACCCTGGTATTAAATTAAAGGCTGGGCTGAGCATTGTTCTAGTACCTATAAGAATGAAGCTTTTTTTTTTTTTTTTGGGATCCGGTCATGGGGCTTGAACTCTGGGCCTGGGCGCTGTCCCTCAGCTCTTCAGCTCAAGGCTAGCGCTCTACTACCTGAGCTACAGTGCCACTTCTGGCTTTTTTTCTTTTTGCTTATGTGGTGCTGAGGAATCGAACCCAGGGCCTCAGGCATGTAAGGCAAGCGCTCTACCACTGAGCCACCTTCCCAGCCCCAAGAATGAAGCTTTTATTGGGGAGTAACTTGAAGTGGAAATGGCACTTGCGCTTGCAGGAGTTTGCTCCAGTTTCCATCTTTCTATCCCAGTACCTCATCTGTACATACTGAACAAAAGACTGAACAGTTCTTTTGGCCTGAGGTGGGTTCATTCTGTTTGCAAGAGCCCAGCCCTTATCCTGTGTCTCTTCCCTAAGCCTCTTCTCTGTCGGAGCCCTCAAGCTGTTAGCTAGTAAAGCGAAGTGCATCTCTGGGGAGCACAGGGCACTGCCAGAATCCCAGTTGGGAAGCATCTCCAAGAGTTATGTTTGCCAAGCACGATATCATTGTGTGCAGGCATTGTGGGAATCTGCCAAGCTCAGAGGTAGGCTGCCAGTCCAAATGCCACGTTGACATGACATTTACAAGTTTAGAATCTGGAAAAGGATTGGTGGTGGAACACCTCTCAGCTGTCTTGTCTAGGTGGCAGGAACTGTGCCAGCTTTTCACTTCCAGACTCAGAAATCGTTTTCAGGAAGTAATATTTCATATAGAATTTGTAGCTTTCGCCACGACTTTTTCTAGGAAATGATAAATCCTGTAAGCTGGCCGAGTTTGCGCATGCTAGAACAGATTTGAATGAAACTCTATCATAGGCTCACTGTGGATACTGAGTGAGTAATGTCTCCTTCCTCCTAGGAGTTCTTAAATGGAGTAAATATATTTAAAAGCAAAAGCACTTTTGGGGATGGGAAGGTGGCTCAGTGGTAGAGTGCTTGCCTCGCATACATGAGGCCCTGGGTTTGATTCCTCAGTACCACATGAGCAGAAAAAGTGGTGCTGTGGCCTAAGTAGTAGAGCATTAGCCTTGAGCTGAAGAGCTGAGGGACAGCACCCAGGCCCAGAGTTCAAGCTCCATGACTGACCAAAAGAAAAAAAAAAAAGCACTTTAAACATACCAGCACTTATGTATTTAGGATCTGTTTAAAAAGTGTAAAAGCACTTAGGACACTCTTCAGAAACCCACAAGAAACTCAGTTTTTCCTTGTTCTGATAGTTCAGTAATAAGTAGATAGGATTTTACAGGGTTGTGCTATTACAACATGAATTGTTTATCTGCGTTCGCTCTCTGACTTAGGCATTACTGGAACACTGTGCACAAGCATCCAAGACATAATTTTTTTCTCCTCTTCAGGAAGATTTAGGGCTGAAGTCAGGATCATTTATATATTTGGAATTTCTGCAGATTTTTTATTTGCAGAAATCTTTTGGGTGTTAAGGGTTCATTTCAAGCTTTGTGATAGACCCCCCTGTAACCACAGCATTTAGAAGGTAAACGTAAAAGAGCTAAGTTCAAGGGCTACCTGCATCACAAAGTGAGTTCTAGGCCAGCCTGGGCCACATAGCAAGATCCTGTGTCAACCTACCCCCCAAAGAACCCATTTCAGTAGCAGGGGCTCAATGACTTGGTGCTTTTCTGTGTTGCATTCTAAGGTAAAATAAAGACCTGGCACTATTTTGAAGGATGTTCTGTGACTTATTAGGGAGACATTTGTTTATTGTTTAATTGATTGCTATAACAGATACTTGGTCTTGATTCAGATCTTTTATCCTGATCTGGTACCTATATAAGCTTTTTTTCTTTTGCTGCTTCTTTAGGAGCTATATTCCTCATTAATGAAATTCTGTCCTTTTCCTCCTATTTTTCAGGTCTTCAAAGCTGTTTCGGGCATTCTACATCCCCTTCCTGTCAGATCAGTATACAGTGTATGTGAACTACACCATCCTTAAACCTCGGAAAGCAAAGCAAAGTAGGAAGAAGAGTGGAGGTTAGCAACACACTCGTGGCCCCCGTGGACAGCCATCTTGTTACCTGATTCCATTGACCTGACTCCCTCCATATCATCACCTGTAACTTTTGTAATAAAGTCATCTGACAGGAACACCGGAATCCAGGTGCTCTTGGCTAATCAGTCTGTTTCAAATTCTAATTAAAGTTACATTCAATTCTTGCCTGTATCAATGTACTGCCTGTAAACTTTTTGTAGATAGGCAGAGAAAAGCCCTAAAGCACCAGTAGATATATGGCTCCACGACTCATTGTTTTTCTTCTGTTCAATTACTTACTAGACCGGAGAAGAGCAGAACCAACTTACAGGAAGAATTGAAAATCCCCGGGCTGGATGGCTATGTTAAGCTGTTCTCCACATTGTGGCCTCACACCCAAGAAGTAGCAAGCCTCTCTCAGGATGAAGGGGCTTCTCCACCAAAGCTATCTGGCCGCTCCTAGGAGACCTTCACGCTCCAATCCTAGTACTGAAAGTGAGCTCAGCTTAGTCGCCAACTGACATGTCCTTTCCACCTTCAGCAAGACTAACTTCTGTGAAGCACTTTACAGGGAGGACTATCTCAGGAAAAAGGCGACCACTGGAGGAACTGTGACTTAATTTTGTTACAGATGATGCCTCTGACTTTCATTTTATTTCCTTTACAACCACCTTGAACCGTGTTTGTTTTAACTTTAGCATGCTATAACTTGAATTCTGGATTCTGCTGTACAAAGGTATCAACAGCCTAAATTTGTATAGGGCAACCTTGGAAAGAATTAATTCTCGCCATTGGTAGAGTCGGATGCCAACACCTTTCTAGGTAATGCATTCTGAGGCCATCTCTGAGGAAGCTAGTGAAAAGGACCAGTGTATACTTGTAGCACATGGTTTTTCATTCTATTGCAACCTCCCTGGGCACTCTAGTAGGCAGTGATTAAGACCCAGTTCACACGCAGTAAGTACATTCTATTACTTACCTTAACACACAGTATTTCACAGGTTCCAAGGCATTTTCACAGCATCTCAGTGTCCTCAGTCACCATGAGGGGGAGGCCTGGCAGGTGAATTTATTATCATTTTACAGACGAGGAAAGTGGTAGAGGTAAAATGACTTGCCTGGGGAAATCCAGGTTGCATGATTTCCATGCTTCCCCCCGTTCAACCATGATGTGGTAGAGGATGAGGTTGGCCAAGACCTGGTTGATATTACAACTTTCTATTTTAAGGAAGAGTTTTACTTATATTTCTTAGTTCTTTGGCACCTCCAACATGCCTGTGTGTAAAACCCATCAGCGCAATGCTAGGTGGCGGAGCCAGGCCCACAACAGGGCATACCATCACACAGGCACTGTTCCTATTGCCCATCAGGGGTCGTGGTATCCGTGCCCTATTCTACTAAGCTGATTCTAATACCTGAAAATAGGATGGACCTATTTTTTAGAATTTCCATCTTTAATTTTTTTAGAGAAAGACTTCCCAGTAGGAATTAAGAAATGCTAGTTACCATATAACATGTCTCTTCTTGAGAATTCCTTGTAAAGGAATAGCTGAGCTGGTGTTGAAGCAGAGAGAGAATAGGTCTAGGCAGAATAGTAAAGGAAGAAAGACCTTTGACATTTAAGTCTCCATACTCCACTACTGTCTTCCAGAGCAAATAGCGGGTATATGATCTGACAACAGAACAGCGCACTGTAAGTGGAGCATCTTGCCTTATGTTCGGTAACAGTGCTGTCCTTCACAGTAGCCAAAGTCCTTTCTTTTTTTAGGGATGTGTAAGAGTCTAAGCTGGGCATAGTGGCTCATAGGCCTGTAATTCTAGCTACTTGGGAGGTAGAGATGGAGAGCATCACACTTTAAGGCCATCCTAGACAAAAAAGTTTAAGATATTCCCATCTCAGCCAATTAAAACAACACCAGTGTGTTGTGTGCCTGCCATTCCAGCTACATAAGAGGGTAAGATTGCAGTCCAGGCTGGCCTGAATGTAACTATGAGACCCTATTTGAAAAAGTAACTAAGGTAAAAAACATTGGGAGCATGGTTCGGGGTAGAGCGCCTGCCTAGGAAGCACAACCCCAAGAAAAACAAGTCCAGCAATGTGGGTAAGTGGAGAGTAGCCTTTTTTCTAATCAAAGTGGTAGAGCGTTCAAGGAGGAAAGGGTACAGTGTGGTAGCATGCATGAGGCCCTAGGTTTAAGGCCGTGTGTGTGTACACACGTACACATAAAAACATGGTATAGCATTGATCTATTTTATCATCTGTGTATTTAAAAAAAAAAATCAAAGACTTGAGAGAGAACTTAAACATAGCACAGAAAATATGATCCAGGCAGGGTTCCCTTGAGAATATGACTTCTGCTTTGAAAAACCTCATTTTTTTCCTCTCATATGTATCCTTTTGATGAGAGCATAATGAATTGCAGAATACTGTGCTAAATGCTATATGTTGTAAAGATCTTAAAAGTGATATTTTCTGAACATTAAAAAAAAATCGCCCCTCTCTTAGTAATATAGGGAAGTTAGATTTGCCTGAGGAAAAGTGTATTGAGACACTTGGTCAGAGTAGCATTTCTCCTCCAAAGAACCAGAGTTCCACATGAGCTTCTGCTCTGCTCCCTGTAAGGAGAAAGTAGATAAGGTACTTATTACTCCATTGGTTGTTGAGTATCAAAGAAGGAGGGACTATGGATGATTCAGAATAGCCTTTGATTATGGGCTAAATGAGGGAGTGAGTACACTTGTCAGTCTCAGATTCTCTGATTCCTAGCTCTGAAGTGCCTTATCTGAACTTAGCCAGACTGTGTGGTAGGCATCTATTTTCAAAATGTCCCCTCACCTCCTAGGTGTCATTGATTAAAAAAAAAAAAAAAATCAAAGACAGGTCCTTTTAATCTCTTGGGATAATCAAGGAAAATTGCAGGCCAAACTCTGTATTGTCAAATTTGAAATTCAGAGGAAGACTCGGTTTTGAATAGAGGTGGTTCTTGATCAGAACCATGGATTTAAGTCATTTTTACTGGACTGGAGTTCAGGGAAAAAACTGTGAAACCCCAATGTGAATCTGCAGCATGAGATACCAGAAGCAATCCTCTATTGAGTTTTTTTGCGTTTCCTGGGATTTATTGAATTAAGAAATCACTGTGATTGTGTGGTCATCTGGCCAGTCCCAGGCAGCTCTGCTTTTACTTTGGTTAAATGAGGCACAGTCAAACCTTTACATCCACAAACAAAGCTCACATGTTAATCTGTTCTTATGCTTCTACGTGAAATGCCTTGAGTAAATGCTTTACACACACCCCATTCCCCTGCAGCAGAGATCAGGGCGTTGACATTAGGGGTAAAAGGCTGGGATTTGGTCCCCTCCCAGAGAAGTCAGTGAGCAGCAACTGTCACTTGGTGGCGTGAGTCCTTAGATAAAGTCTGGAGAAGTCTCATGAGGCATTGATGGACTGAAAAAGATACTAAAGAGCAAATAAATGTCCCTAGCTACTTCTGGCATCTGGCAACTAGATAGAGGAAAAGTCAGGTAACAAAGGCAAGAATATAAGTTCCTGTCCAGTTAATAAGTAGACAGGTATGGATACTGATGGGCAGGCTTCTTTCTTCTGTTGACCCTCCTGGCTTTGGTTAATTTTGAAAGGGCAGGCACAAAGTTGCTGATATGACATCATCGCCTCTTATTCCTCTCCATGGTCCTTTGTTCCCCAGACTGGCTAAGTCTAGGTGCTCATTGCTGGGATAATTTTTCCCAATTAGTATTCATGGAGGTTTGAACTCAAGGCCTGGGCACTGTCCCTGAGCACTTGTGCTCAAGGCTAGTGCTCTACCATTACCACTGTCTTTGGCTGGTTAGAGATAAGCGTTTTGAGCCATGCTTCCAGCCTGGCTCTTTGCAGGTTAGTTAGGAGATGGAGTCTTAGGGGTTTTTCAGCCCGGGCTGGCTTTGAATTGCAATCTTTGCCATGAAAACACTTTATTATTTCCAATTAAAGCAACAAGGAGATCAAATAGAATAGAGCTTACCTGGTCCTTATCAAGAATTGACCAAGAAATATTCTGCAATGACAAAACTCATTAGATGTGAGAATCTTAGCACAGATATGCCCAGTATTTTAGAATCACGTAGTCAGTACTAGAATACATAACACAAAAAAGGCAAAACTCAAAACCTAAAATTTTGACAATGTTTAGACATCTTTGCTAACAAAGCACATCAGATGTTTGGGCCTCAGTTACCAGGGTCTGTGAAAAGAACAACTTGTTAGCAAGGCACCTTAGAATAGATGGAGGAGTAGTAAGCTTGGTGGAAGGGTAGGTCAGGTGGGGCCAAACCCTTAACCCACCATGTGGCCAAGATGGGGGACTCAAGATGGCGAATTTCTGAAAAAAATGCAAAGAAAGCCTGAACAAATAGATCAAGCCTACATTGGCTAGCCTTTGAGAAGGAACCTAGAGGGGGGTCCCCGGGACCCGGCCTGCGTCGCACTCTTCAGGGCATAAGCCGAAATGTTGTAGAAAAGTGAAAGGGAGAGATATGGAAAGTTGGACATGATTGGCAGAGAGAGAGCAAAGAGAGCCTGAAAGTAAACAGACTTGTGACCATTTCCCATTGCAGAGGCAAAAATTGTCTAAATCTGAGAACAGCATAAAAAAAATTGGGCGCTCTGGCTTTCCAGGGAGCACAGGAGGCATTTCAGAGGGGTTTCACGGCATTGGCGTGACACACAGCACCCTACTAAAGGTGTAGGAGAGAAGAAATTAGTGAGTGAAGGAGGGCTTATCGGATGGAAGTGGCGTCCCTCTAGGGAGGAGTGGCTAAGCAACCAGAGTCAAGTGTCCTTGACTCCAGAGGTTACCTGCCTTTCAGTTAAAGGCCTAGCAGGTTCTCCGGCGTGGTACCACATCTGGAGAGAGACTGAGTGACAGAGAACCCTCAGAAAGTAGTTCACTCACCAGAATGTAGAAGCGTGGAGGTGGATGCAGAGGCCGGCAATGGTGTTGAGGTGCTGTGTCCGCAGCAGACAGACCGGTTTGCAAAAAGGCCGTCAGAACTGTGGGTATTCCTCAGAGCAAAAAAGGAAAAAAACAAACAAAAGAAAAAAAAATGGAGAGGAATCCCACCTATCCTGACTTTAAGCCCTTCCCAGGTTTTGGCACCATTTATGTTAGGTTTTTAAAGAGGGGTTGCTGGGTAAGAATCACACCATGCACATGTATTCAGGTAAGAGGTAGGTTTATTCATTGTTCTGGCTGGCGCCAGGCCATGTTGGCCCGCCATGTGGCTGGGAAAGGCCTGGGAAAGAGCCTCTGGGTCAGGGCTAGGCCTTATCTAGGGTATGGGCAGAGAAAGGTGTGGCCACATCAAATTCAGATGTGACCTCGGCAGATGCCGATGTGACCTCTTCCAGGTGTGCCAGGTGCCTAGGTAACAGGCACTGGGTGGGCGGAGACTTTGCTTCGAGGAGGGTGGAGTCTGCTCGCCATCCAGGAGCGGACCTTACATTCCAGCCATCCAGGAGCAGACCTTACATTCCAGCCATCCAGGAGCAGACCTTACAGTGTTGAAGCCACAGAGTGTTGTCCAGTTCATTTGTCTTCCTGACCTTTGGGTTTTATTTCATGTATCAGTGTTTACGTTACATATTTATTATTGTATTTTCTGTGAAAAACAAGGTTAAATAAATCATGGCAGTTTGATTTTATTTTTTCTTAAGATGCTACTATTTTTTTTCTTTTGCTTTCAGCTTTTAAATCTTCTGGAAATTGGGAATGGTTGGAACTAACTCCCATGCTAAGGGCCTTTGCCTGCCTTCTCTCAACCACACAGCCCAGAATGCTATTGTGAACCCTTTAGGAAACTCGAGTTTCTCAAGAGAGTTTTTGGATTGAAACTCGATTCTGGAAGTCTTTATAAAAATCCTGATCCAGTTTCATCCAATATTTGGGTAATTTTTTTTCCCCAGTGTAGGATGTCAGGAGGAATAAAATTTACAGTAAGTGAATCTACTTCATACCCAACAACTTCTGGCAGCCATGTGGTTTTGTGCCCTAGGTCATTTTTCTTCCCAGAGGACCCAAAAATATCACCTTGAGTCTTGGTTTGATTTATTTCTCCCCATGTTGTTTTGGCAAAGGATGCTTTTATTAATTTAGTTTTAGGAGGGAGAAGTTTCCTTTCTCTTGTATAGAATATCATCTTTTCCTGTTCACCTTTTTTAGCTAAGACTCTCCTAAGAAGACTTTCTGGATTTCAGAGCCACTTTTACGTACATTGTGTCTTGAATAAGAGCGTACAACTTCATTATAGACACCCTGCAGACCTACCTCCCAAGAGTGTTATTGGCCAGTCAGAGGAACACACCTTGCTGGGCTCCTGTGTATTCGTTAGCTCAGCACAGTCTCCTGAACATTTTGGTACTGTGCATTTTTTGTTGAAGAAGAGTAAAAGACATTGAGAAGTAATCTATAGCTCTTCTCAATTTGGTATAGAATTTTAGACCACTGAAAGTATAACAAGTTGTAAGTTTTGGAGAACTCAAAGGACGTGTATAGCAATTCTGAACAACACAGGCTTTTGTGCAGAAGCAGACTGCTCAGGGTAGCTTCTAAAAGGGGCCATGTCCTTTTACTGAATATTTCTGTTCCTTTGTCTTGGAGAGCCAGACTTGACACAGGAGACCTTCTAAACAAGGCTGGATCAGAAAGCGTTTTCCTATAGGTGGAAGGAGCGCCTAAGTCCCACCTTCTTTGTGCAGGAGGCTCATGCCTGCAGTCCTGGTTACTACTCAGGAGGCTGAGATCCGAGGTTTGCAGTCCAAAGCCAGCCCAGGCAGAAAAGTCTGTGAGGCTCTTATCTCCAACTAACCAGCA